TGTTGTTGAAGGTTACACTCCATTTTTTATTGTATAAAAAAGTATATTTTTATTATATAAAAATTGTGTTTTGGGAACCAACAGTTAGTGTAATGGCTATGTCGCTGGACTCCCACGTAGTCGACCGAGTTCGCGTCCCGGACTTGGTGGCTTAAAACTCACGCTGGGACTCACGCCAGGCGCGTGTGCGTGCGTGCCCAAGATCCCGAGAGGAGAATGGAGGAGAAGGGATTGCGGCGTGACCATCCCCCCTGGGGGGTGATTTCTCGCTTTCTGTCTCTATGTCTCTCTCTGTCTGTCTGGCGAGCACACACGCCCTATAATGAAAAAACCTTTCCAAAAAAAAAAAAATTGTGTTTTATTGATAAAACATGTATTTTAATTTTTATTACATAAAAATATTTTTTATTTTTATCATATGAAAAATGGAGTATAACTTTCAATAGTATTATTTTAGGTTATGCTGCTAAAGTGCTTATAGATAAAAATGTCAGAAAAAACCTTGGTGGTAAACACACATTAGAATATCTCCAGATGAATAATACCTGAGAAACTGCTAACAGTCATTGCTGTTGAGGAAAAAGAACTGAGAATGTGAAGGTTAGGGATAAGTTTACTTCTCCCTGAGGAAGGTGAAAAAAGTACCTTGCAAAAACATAAACATGCATTATTTTTAAAACAAAACAAACTATACTTTTTTTTCCCCTTAATGTGCCCCTGTGGTTACTGGGGCACATTAAGGGGAAAAGCAACCCTAGGGGGGACAGCTCCACCATGATCCCTTCTTTGCCACCTTCCTCTCAGAACGAGTTCTGGCCTCAAACCACAGTTAGCTAAGTGGAATCCAGCCACTCCAACCACTGTGCCCCTGGCTGGCCCTACACCTACTTTTTCAAATTCGTAACTTTTTGAAACAGACAAACAAAACAGAAGACGTGGGGCCAGCAGTGGCGTGGTGGTTAAGACACTCAAGTTACCCATGGCCAATCACAATTTGAGTCCTGGACCGGCCGGCTTGCTTTCTCACTTTCTATCTCCCTGTCTCTCTCGGGTGAGCACACATGCCCTAAAGTAAATTATATAATAATGAAAAATAAAAGTTTTTAAAAACCTTAATAAAAAGCAAAACAGAAGAGTTTAGGCCTAAGAATCAAGACTGATAATTCAAAGTGTGGAATGTTTTTTGGAACTCCAGAAACTGGTAGTAATCTTCTACTGTTAAATTGCATGTCTCCCTTTGAAACCAGCTGTAAACTCTTTCACACCTTTTTAATTTGTAAATCAGTACTGTCTAGTCAAAGTACAAGTAACAAGGCTCATTGTAAAAACTTGCTGCTTTTGTGTATTTTTTTAAAAACACTGAATCTATGTAACTATTCTCTCTAGTTTTTTTATTTTTAAAAATTATTTAAAGGACCAGCAGTTAGTGTAATGGCTCTGTCGCCGGACTCCCATGTAGCTGACATAGGTTTGAGTCCCAGACCCGGTGGCTTAAACTCATGCCAGGCGCATGTGCATGTGTGCCAAGGATCCCGAAAGGAGAATGGAGGAGAAGGAATTGTGGTGTGGCCATCCTCCCTGGGGGGGCGGGTGATTTCTCACTTTCTGTCTCTCTGTCTTTCCGGTGAGCGCACAAGCCCTATAACAAAACCTCTCTCCCCAACCCCCCAAAAAAAGATTTAATGATTTAATTTTATATATGGAATCTATATAACTACTCTGTTTTTAGTTTTTATTTTTAAGAATTATTTAATTTCATTTATCTATTTTTTTTCTTAATTTGCTACAAAGCACATGTGCTCACCAGAGAGACAGACAGACAAGACAGTGAAAAAAGCAAGCCACCAGATCTAGGGTTCAAACCACAGTCAGCCATATGGGAGGCAAGCAATGGAACCACCATGACACCTGCCGGCCCCACTATTCCCTTTTAATAGAGGAGAAATTCGGAGAGATTAAGATTTGGTCAAAGTAACAAACAGATCTATGCAATATTTCTGCCTAATTGCTAGGTCTATGCTTCTTCCATCATACTTTGTAAACTATAAACCAATATGTAAGCATAAAATTGTTAATAAACTAGTGATTATGCTACTTACACCTTCTGGCGAGCCATGTGCCCTATAGCAAAAACCTTTCAAAAAAAAAAAAAAGTTCTATGCCATCAATCTTAGTATCACTAATAGTGGGAAACTTAGAATACATATAATGGCCTGTGAAACCATCCCAGAAGTATTGAACCTGAATCCAATTAATTGTTCCACTCTAGCTTCCAGTTTGTAATAACAAGTTAAATGATATCACTTGGAATCGATCAGATAACTCTAGGTAACTAACCAGGTCTCTTCAAGTACTGGAGTACAATGTGGGGGCCAGGGAGGGTAACTATTCTATAATAGATTAAAAAATTTCAAGATCCATAACAATCAAATGCAGGGTATAGGGCCAGCAGATAGCATGGTGGTTAAAAATGCTGGACTTTCCACATAGCTAAGCACGGTTCGAGTCCTGGATCTGGCAGCTTGCTTTCTCCTGTTCCCTTTTCTGTCTCTCTCTGGTCAAATTAAAATAACAATAACAAAGAATTCTATTTAAAAATGTAAGATGTAACTTTTGATTAGAAAGTGAATCTTAAAAAGTAACAATTGAGGGACCAGCAGATGGAGCACTGGTAAGATTGCTAGACTCCTATGTAGTCAACCACACTTCAAGTCCCAGACCTGGTGGCTTAAACTCACACTGGGCACATGTGCGTGTCCAAAATCCCGAGAGAAGAATTGAGAAGAAGGGATTGCGGCATGGCCATCCCCATCCCTCCTGGGTGGTGATTTCTCGCTTTCTTTCTGACTCTCTCTTTCTGGTGAGCGCACACGCCCTATAGCAAAAACCTCTGAAAAAAAAAAAAAAAGAAAAACACAAAGTATGTATACTTCTAACTGAGCAATTCCTGGTTCCACAACTAGCATTTACCACTATCCCTTGCTTTTCTCCTACAAAAGCCTTCAAGTTATGTGCATGTACTCTAATCAAGATGTACAATAATCTCTATTCAGTTTCTCTTTCATGTATCTTCCTTTTCATTAAAATGGTTATGTTCTAAATTAACCTGACTGGATTCCTTGACACTCTCTATTGCCTTTCGGGACCTTCTCAAGTTCTCTTCAAAAGTCATCTAGTAAGTAATCTTTAATTAAAGGCCTCTACCATTTTCTACACTCAAGAGTTAACTTGAGGGGAGCTAGCAAGAGGTGTGGTGGTTAAGGACGCTGGACTCCCACGTGGCTGACCCGTGGTTTGCTATCTCACTTTCCCTCCCTCTCCCTCACTCTGTCCCTCTCTTGTAAAAGTAAAATAAATAAAGTTAAATAAAATCTTTTTTAAAAATTATCTTATTTAACTTTATTTATTTATTTATATTTGACCAGAGAAGGAAAGAGAGAGGAGAGACAGAGAAAAGTGAGAAAGCAAGCCACCAGGTCCAGGACTCGAACCATGGTCAGCCATGTGGGAGTCTAGTGCCCCAACCATCATGCCACCTGCTGGCCCTTAAAATTAAATAATTCTGTAAAAAAAAAAAAAAAAAGTTAACTTGAGGGACCAGCAGATGGTGTAATGGTTAAGTCACTGCACTCCCACAAAGTCGACCATGATTGGAGTCCTGGACCCAGGGACTTAAAACTCAGGCCAGCAGGTGTGTTTGCCTTGCTCAGGATCCCAAGAAGATACTGGAGAAGGAACTGTGGCATGGCCATCTCTGCTAGGGAAGGGGGGAGGTTGTTGTGTGTGTGATTTCTCACTTTCTGTCTCCCTGGCAAGAACATGAGCCATATAGCAAAACAAACAAACAAAAAACTCTTTAAAAAGAAAAGTTAACTTGAGCAAGGAGCTATACTAATAACACTGTTTACTTTCCCAGCAAGCATGCTTACAATTTCAAACTTGGTAATAGGAAAAAGATAAGCTCTGCCATCATTTTAGGTGAAATTTCACCACTTACCACAAGAAGATTGGCTTGAGCAAATTACCACCAGAATCTCACCTATCTCATCCAAAATATGCTGGAAAAAAAAAAAAGCCCTTCTATTACAATATCTCTTTAATTTTTGTGACACACCTGAGACTATCTGGCATATGCATAGTAGGTGCTAAATAAATTCTAGTTGGATCTTGTTATCTTCCTGTTTCGTTCACGACCAAACTTGAGAATAGGCTTAAAATAAACGTTAAGATTTCCAATAGGCTTTAGAACAGTACTAAACTCCTAGTAAATATTCAAAAGTTACCTGTGGCCTGACTTAACTCGGTATAAACCATTATAGTGGACAGATCACTCATTTGGTAGGTAGGAACTTCCCTAACTAAGATGGCAATCCTAAGTTGCTGAAAGCGACAGAAATAAACTTCCCAACAAGAAGCAAGCTTAAATCGTACTCTCAAAAATAACTAAACAGATTGAAAAAGGAGGGGAGTGCAAAGCATTTTCTCTCCATAATCCTACACCGAGATTCGTACTATCAATAAATATCTAACAGACACATAGTAAGCGCTTCATGATTGGTTGCTATTATTAAGACTCATCCCACAAGGAAAGAAGACGAAAGGAGGAGGGAAAACAAAACAAAACAAAACAGAGGCTGTCAATCACAAAGGGCAAAAGGTGCTCCAGGTCTTGGACCTAAAAGCCTTTTAAGCACCAGGGTCTATGGGCTCCCTCCCCAACTGGGGGCCGAAGGAGGTCAGCGGCCTCGTAAAGGTCAAGACTTTGGAGCCGCACTTCCTTCTGGGGCTGGAAACGCCCCCGCGAGAATCAGTACCCCGAAGCCAGAAGCGGCTTCTGCCTGGAACCCCGCGCGGCCTCCGGGAGAGGGAACAACAGGGTCGCCCCTGCGCCGCAGCCCCCAGGGGCAAAGACCTGGCCGCGTCCTGCAGCTCCATAACCACCCGAGGGGCAGACCAGCAGGACCCTCAGGCTCCACACAGGCCTGCCCCGCCAAACTTACATTCACAGCCGACCCTTTTACTCCATCAGTCCGCCGAACACCCGGCGAGGGAGCTCCCAGCGCGCAGGCGCGCAGCACCGCCGTCGCGCTCCCTTTTTTTTTCTTTACGGTCCGCCTTTCTCAATAACCTAGCTTTATTTGAACACAAGAGAGTGAACAACGGACACAGGAGAAGAGGCTTGACTAAAGGGAATGGAGGAAGAGCAAAGGCAAGCAAGTGTGCTGGCGTTAGTCTGCTGCCCTGGACCCCGCGACCGACCTCCTCTCCTGTGCCCTCTTTCATTCTCCTTGCTCTTTCTGAGCCTTCCTGTAACTCCTAAACTCTTCCTAAATCCTCCACAATACCCTCTAGGCAGAGATGACTGTTGCAGCCAAATTTCTTTTTTTAAGATTTTGGCCAGAGAGCACTTGGGCTTGCTGGAGAGAGACAGTGAGAGGGAGAGTGAAAAATCACCTCTAGCGGGTACGACCATGGCACAACCCCTTCTGGACCATTTTCTTTCTGGGATTTTGATACACGAATACTCAGGTGTTGCCCGGTGTGATTTTTCAAGCTGCCACGACCCGACTGAACCCACAGTTGACCATGTAGGATCCAGTGCCTTACCCTCAGCTAAATTTCTAAACACTCGTTCGCTGTGACACTTACTCAAGTTTAATGGCAAGTATAAGAACTTTAGAAAAAACAGAAAGGGGCGAGTAGGTGGCATAGTGGTTAAGGGTGCTGGTGGACCATGGTTCGAGTCCCAGACCTGGCAATTTGTTTCTGTCACTCACTCTGCCCCTCTCTGGTCAAATTAAAATAAATAAACAAAATAAAATTTAAAAATAACGTTTTAAAAAGAGACAGAAAAGTGACCAAGAGGTGATATAATAGTTACATCGTTGGACTCCCATGTAGTGAGCCCTGGTTTGAGTCCCAGACCAAACTCGCCCCAGGTTCGTGTGTGTGCATGGTCAAGATTCCAAATCCCAGGGCCAGCAGGTAGTGTGGTGGTTAAGGGCGCTGGACTCCCACATGGCCAACCACAGTTTAAGTCTTGGACCTGGCGGCTTGCTTTCTCTCTCTCTCTCTCTCTCTCTCTCTCACTGTCTCACACTTGGTCTGTCCCTCTCTGGTCAAATTAAAAGAAAGAAAGTTAACTTTTTTTCTAAGAATTATTTTATTTTTAACTTTATTTTATTTATTTATTTATTTATTTATTTATTTTATTTATTTCAATTTTACCAGAGAGAGAGAGAGAGACAAAGAGAGAGATGGAAAGTGAGAAAGCAAGCTGCCAGGTCTGGGACTCAAACTATGGTCAGTCATGTGGGAATCCAGCACCCCCAACCACCATGCCACCTGCTGGTCCCAATAAAATAATTCTTAAAAAAAAAAAAATAATAAAGTCCCAAAATCTCAAGAGGAGGAGAAGGGATTGTGATGTGGTAGTCATCCTGGGGGGTGATTTCTCACTTTCTGTCTCTGTCTCTCCAGAGAGTACACATACCCTATACAAAAATCTCTGAGGAAAAAAAGAGAGAAAGTTTAAATGGATTCGCTAATAATATTGTAATTTGTGACTTTCAACAAATTATTAGATTAGAACTTCTGTTTCCTGAATTAAAATCAAGATAATAATACTTTATCTTGCAGGGTGTTACTAAAATTAGTTACTGTAGGTCAAATAACCATCTATGAATGGTGTCTCTTACATAATAGACAACTATTTATTTACATATTTTTTTGTTTTGTTAGGGGCATGTGTGTTCACCAGGGACAGAGAAAAAAAGCAAGCCTCTCCGTCCATGAGAAATGGTCATGTCTGGGACCAGTAGTTAGCATAATGGCTATGTCGCTGAACTCCCATATAGTTGACCGCGGTTCAAGTCCCGGACCCGGTGGCTTAAACTCACACCGGGCACGTGTGCGTGTGTGTGCCCAAGATCCTGAGAGGGGGAAAGAATGGAGGAGAAGGAATTGCAGTGTGGCCTTCCCCCACTAGGGAGGATTTCTTGCTTTCTGTCTTTCTGTCTCTCTCTGTCTTTCTGGCGAGTGTAAGCGCCCTTTAGCAAAAACCTCTCCCCCAAAAAAGAAATGGTCATGTCGCAATCCCTTCTCATCTATCTCTATCTCCTTTTGGGATTTTTGGCAAACATACATACACAGGTGCCAGGTGTGTTTTCCAAGTCACAGGGTCTGGAACTTGAACTTTGCAGTCAGTCATGTAGTATCTGCCTACTTTAACCACCAAGCAATGAAACCAGCCCATTTTAAAATTTTTGCGCACACACACACACACACACATTTTATTGTCCAAGGGCATGTATGTTTGCCAGAAAGAGAGACAGAGAGAAAGCACCTCCCGGGAACCAGCAGTTAGCATAATGGCTATGTCACTGGACTCCCACGTAGTTGATCGCGGTTCGCGTCCTGGACCCGGTGGCTTAAAACTCACGCCGGGCGCATGTGTGTGCGTGCCCAAGATCCCGAGAGGAGAATGGAGGAGAAGGGATTGTGGCGTGACCATCCTCCCTGGGGGGTGTGATTTCTTGCTTTCTGTCTGTCTGTCTGGTGAGCGCACGTGCCCTATAGTGAAAACCTCTCCAAAAAAAAAAGAAAGCACCTCCCAATGGGGCATGATTATCACAATCCTTTTTCCTCCATTTCTCCCTCTCGTAAAGATTTTTGAGCATACTTACATAGACACTCAGTTTGTTTCTCAGGCTGCCTGGGCTGAGACTCAAACTGCATTAGATCCAGTTAGCCATATAGGATCCAGTTGCTTTAACTGCTGAGCTACAGGGCTGGCCCCTCAGTGGTTATAATCTTATATATAAAGTACACATTTAAATACCCATTCCCTCTGGACCCTATTTTAGTGACTAAGACTAGTTTGATACATGAAGATACATTAAGGTTGATAATGATGTAATGTGTTACTTTTCCTATATTATAGAAATCATGAGATCATCTATTTAACATTCCTTCACTGCTTCGAATCAAAGTAACCAACTATCTCCATCTGTATGTAAATCCAAATATGCTTCTAGAGGTCTAGGAAACTCTTCCAATTCTGTATTTGTGACATCACAAGTCCTGAAAACACTCAAGGCCTGCAGTATGCTTCTCATTCTATTTACCTTAGAGGACATGCAGTGGAAGAGCTGCCATATGATATGAATTCAGGGTCATAGTCCAAGGAAAAGCCTGTAGAAGATCGAGGTCAGATACTGGTGAGTATGTAGGTAATCCTTGATCAGGGATTCTCAACCTTGGGACTGTGGACTTTGGGGAGCAGTCTTTTGGGAGACTGGACTTTCTTGTCAGGGACTGTCTTGCACATTATAAAATGTTTAGCAGAACTCCTGGGCAATAGATGCTAGTGGTACCTCACTCCCTCTCCTCATCATGATAAAAACAAATGTTTTCAGACATTGCCAAATGTCTTCTGAAGGAGAAAAATGATTCCTAATAAAGAACCATGGCATTATATCAATGACTATGCAACTCAAATTCAATCATACCTTTTCTCCACCTTTGCCCTCGAGAAGTGATTGCTGGGCCAGGAGGTGTCATGGTGGTTAAGACACTGGATCCCACATGGCTGACTCCATGGTTTGAGTCCAGGATGCAGAGTATTGACAAGCACACCAGGTTCATGTGCATTCCAGATCCAGATTCCTGAGAAGAGAATGGAGGCGGAGGGATTGTGGCATGGCTATCACCCTGCAGATGATTTCTCACTTTGCCTCTTTCAGTCTCTGTCTAGCTAGTGCACACAACCTATGACAAAACTCTGAGGAAAAAAAAGGAGGGCAAAAACGGGTAAGTACATTTTATCAGTCTTCTGTAAATTGTAAGAGTGCATGTGTACTTGACAGAGGAAGAGAAAGAGAGGGAGAGGGAAAGGAAAAATGCACCCCCAATGGAGTATGGTCACACCATAATTCCTTGTCTGTTTCTCCATTCTGTTGGTATTTGGGATATACATACACAAACGCTTGGAGTGTTTTATCAAGCTACCAGATCTGGGACTCAAACTCTGTGGTTAACCACATGGAATCTAGCTCCTTTATTTATTTAATTTTTTGGGGGGAGAGGTTTTTGCTATAGGGCACATGCGCTTACCAGAAAGACAGAGAGAGACAGAGAGACGAAAGTGAAAAATCACTCTCTGGGGGGATGACCACGCCGCAATCCCTTCTCTTTTCTCCTCTCGGGATCTTGAGCATGCACACCCACGTGCCTGGCATGAGTTTAAACCACCAGGTCCAGGACTCAAACTGCAGTCGACTACATGGGAGTCTAGCAACACAGCCATTACACCAACTGCTGGCCCCAGAATCTGGCTCCTTTAACCACCAGGCTGTAGGCTGCCCCCATTTTTAAATTTTTTTGTAAAGAATTATTTTACTTTATTTATTTATTTATTTATTTATTTATATTTTAAACATTTTTAAAGAATTATTTTATTTACTTATTTATTTATTTTTAATGTGAGTAGAATTTTATTTAACTTTATTTATTTGAATTTGCCCAAAGAGGGACAGAGAGAGAGAGAAAGAGAGAGAGAGAAAGAGAAAGATAGCCACCAGGTCTGGGACTCAAACTGTTGTCAGCCATGTGGGAGTCCAGCACCCTTAACCACTGTGCCACCTGCCAACCCCTATATTTTTTAATTTGACCAGAGAGGGACAGAGTGATAAAGAGAGAGGGAAAATTGAGAAAGTAAGCCACCAGGTCCAGGACTCGAACTGAGGTCAGCTATGTGGGAGTCCAGTGCCCTTAACCACCATGTCAGTTGCCAGCCTCCATTTTAATCAATCTTAAACAAGCCCTCAACACTTCTTACCACTCCTACTACTTTTTTCCCTAAGAATTATTTTATTTATTAATTATTATTATTATTCACATGAATTTTGCCAGAGAAAGACAGAGAGAGAGAGAAAGCCACCAGGTCCAGGACTCAAACTATGGTTGGCCATGTGGGAATTCCAATGCCTTAATCACCATGCCACCTGCTGACTGCCCTACTGCTTTTTTCTGGTCAGCTTGTTCTATCACTTTCTACAACGGTATTCCAAATCTTCACAGCTTTCTTTAAAATTCCCACCACCACCTGATTTTCTTTTTTTCTTTTGGAGAGGTTTTTGCTATAGGGCACATGCGCTTGCCAGACAGAGAGACAGAAAGTGAGAAATCATCCCCCAGGGGAGATGGCCATGCTGCAGTCCCTTCTCCTCCATTCTCCTCTTGGGATCTTGGGCATGCACGCACATGCGACCCACATGAGTTTAAGCCACTGGGTCCGGGACTCGAACTGTGATCGACTACATGGGAGTTCAGCAACATAGCCATTACACTAACTGCTGGTCCCACCACCACCTCATTTTCTCAGTAGATGACCTTGTCTCCTACTTCACAGAAAAAAACAGGTCATCAAATGAGAACTTCTTTAACTTCCCATTATTAAACACGAACTTACAGACATATACTTCCTTTCATTATAATTAAGGAACTATCTTCCTTCCCTCCCTCACTTTTCTTCTCCCCCTCTTCTAAGACCATTCCTTCCACCAATGCTTTGAATTACCTCTACTCTTCTTTCAAGATCTTTACCTACTAACTATTCAAAGGCTATATTCAATACCTCCCAGGTATTTTAGGCATCTTAATGGGAAGGGCACATTCAAAGCTCCCCAGATGTATTAGGGATTTCCTTCTCTTCTCTTTTCTTTTTTCTTCTTTTTTTTTTTTAGCCGGTTTTTCCCCATAGGGTACATGTGCCCACCCAGAGAGAAAGAGAGAGATAGTAAAAAGGAAAGTGACAAATGGCCCCCTAGAAGGGATGACCATGCTGCAATCCCTTCCCCTCTATTCTCCTTCCGGGATCTTGGGCATGCACACACTCACACCTGATGTGATTTTTCAAGCTGCTGGGTCTGCGACTCGAACTGTGGTCGAACATGTGGGAGTCCACTGATGTAACCACCATGCCATCTGCTGGTTCCAGACATTTTCTTTTTCTGGAGAGGTTTTTTGCTATAGGGGAGCGTGCACTTGTCAGAAAGACAGAGAGAGACATAGAGACAGAGAGCGAGAAATCACCTTTCCAGGGGGGATGGCTATGCCACAATCCCTTCTCCTCTTGGGATCGTGGGCACACATGCAAACGTGCCCAGTATGAGTTTAAGTCAATGGGTCCAGTACTAGAACCGCAGTCAACTACATGGGAGTCCAGCGACGTAGACATTACGCCATCTGCTTTTTCCCTGGCATTTTCTTTTTTAGGGATCAATTCTTGAATATTTATCTTGTATCTTGGGCTTTGCTGAAGGGAAGGCAGGATCTCTTGCAGCCTAGAATAGCCTTGACAGGCAGAAAGGAAGGTATAAAGGGTCAAATCCATCCCGGCAGAAGGGGATATACCCCAATTGGGAATTTTTTGGGATCAGTAGATTTCCACTTGCAAGGAGGGAAGAAAGGTGGCGGGGGTGGAGGAGGGAGCAGTACTGCTTGATCCTATTGCAGATGGCTAAGTCACCCAGAGATAACAAGGAAACAGGCTAGATGTTGTAAAAGACCACCTGGCATCCTGTCTCAGCATCACCTTAATTATTCCTCCCTAAATCTCTTTACTTCAATAGTCCTTAGCCCTCACCCTTCAGGGCTGGTGTAATTCTCTTTATCTGGGTTCTTTCCTTCCATGGAAAGTGAATAAACTTTTTCTATCCATTTACTCTCTGAGTCTGTGAATTCTTCCACAGCCTGTGACACGGATCACAGTAACAACTATCCTTTTCTTCATTCAACCATTGTTTGTCAGTTGACCCTCCTTATCATGCTCAAGGGTCTCTTGTCTTAATTGTAACAAAAACCTAAAACCAAAAAGTCTTCACCCCCATCATCCTCTTTCAATCTTCCCTGTCAAGGCAAACTTTCCTAAAGCATTCTACAACCTGTCTCCACTTCTGCATCTCTCCTATATCCAAACTATTGCTACCTATTTTTCAACTCCATCATGCTACCAAGCAGATTCCACTAATATCACCAGTGATCTCTGTGTTGTTAAACTCAAAAGGTACTTTCAGGCTTAATCTTTTTTTTCCCCCAAGAGAGATTTTTTTGCTATAGGGACTGTGTGCGTTTGATGGGGAGAAGAGACAGAAAGCTAGAAATCACCCCCCAGGTGAGATGGCCACAGGGCAATCCCTTCTCCTTCTTTCTCCTTTTGGGATCTTGGGCATGCACAGACACGCATTGAACGTGAGTTTGAAGCCACCAGGTCTGGTACTCAAGATGCAACTGGCCATGTGGGAACCCAATGACATAACCACCACACCACCTGCTGGTCCCTGTTAATTTTTTTAAAAGACTTATTTATTTTATTTGTTATTATTATTACTATTTTTAATTTGACCAGAGAGAGAGAGAGAAAGGGAAAGTGAGAAAGTAAGTCGCCAGGTCCAGAACTTGAACTGTGGTCAGCCATGTGGGAGTCTAAAACTTTGAGCAATGCACCACCTCTGGCATATATATATATATTTTTTTTTTTTCAGAGTTTTTTAGGGGATGTGGGCTTACCAGAAAGACAGAGAGAGACAGAGAGCGATAAATCACTCCTCAGGGGTGATGACCAGTCCGCAATCCCTTCTCGTCCATTCTCCTCTTGGGATCTTGGGCTGGCCACACACGTCTGGCAGCTTAAGCCACTGGCTCTGGGACTCAAACTGTGGTTGACTACATGGGAGTTCAGCGACATATCCATTATGCCAACTGTTGGTCCCGGCCCCAATATTTTTTAATTTGATGAGAGAGAGACAGAGAGAGCGAGAAAGTATAAGCAGCCAGGAGCAGAACTTGAACCTCAGTAGTCCATGTGGGAGTCCAGTCTCTTAACCACCACGCACTGCAGCCCCCCTCCCCCATGTTTTATTCTTAGAGGTGTGTGGAGATGATTTAAAAAAGGTACCAACAGGTAGTGTAGTGGTTAAGGTGTAGGACTCTCACGCCCTATTGCTGTTCCAGCAGCTAGAGACACAGGACCTGCTCCCTTGTGGGTGCCCAAAATCCCAGTAGGAGAATGAAGAAGGGATGGCGTCGTGATTCCTTGCTGTCTGTCTGTCTCTCCTGCAAGCACACACGGTTTATGGCAAAAATATCTCCCCCTCAGGAAAAAAAAAAGGCATCCACCTTCAATAATTGTCATAGTATAAAATGTAAATAGTCCAAAATTTCAAAGCTATTTCAAAATCCAGCCATTGCCGATCTTTTACATCTTATTTCCCCCAACACCGAGGTATATAAGGTGAGCTCTAAGCTTCTGACAAGGATGAACTGTATTAGATTTCCAGAACGCAACACGTTGTTCTTGGCAAATGTTGTACCCACAGACTGGAAAACTCTGTCTCCCTCCCTCCCAGTCTTCCGGGGGACCTCCTACTTATCCTTCATTACTCAAAAGTCACTTCCTCCAGGAACCTTTCCAGATATCATTAAGAATAAAACACTTTGTTCATTGTGGGCCAAAGGTGCCTCGGACTTTCTAAGTGCCATGCGCTGTATTCTGCGCACTGCAATGTGTTTAAATATCTCCCAGGTTAGACAGATCAAAAGGGTCTAAAGCTCAGGGAAGGCATTCTAGGAGTCCACTTCCCCACAGCGTTCATCCCGCACAGTGCCCGGCACAAAGCTTGTCGCCGGTTATTGCCTGCTATATGAAGACCTCCCACCCTGGGGCGGGCCTGAAACCTTTCCGGTTAACTGGTGAATTCCCAGGATCTCCGCCTGCGTGGCAAGGAGCTTTAAATGCCTCGCACTGCTATTGGCTCCAGCTGCAGGGGTGTGTCCGGGCCCTCGGGATTGGGGTGAGTGCGCAGGCGCGCTTATCGGGCGCGCGCAGGCGCGGGTGGACGCCTCACCGAGTCCGGTCAGCGGGTGTCCGAGGTACCGCGGCCGGAGAGGAGTGGCCGGAACCGCTTGGTGAGTCTCTAGGAGTGGGATTAGGGCGGAGGTGGGGATCGAGTCCCGAGGAGAAAAAGTAAATCGTGACGGTTGAAAAGTCATTGGGAGTCAGGCTTGATGGGAGGAGGGGGCGCTCTGGCCCAGACTCAGCAGACCCGGCCTGGAGTGAGAACGCGACGCGCCAGGAGACGATTTAAGGGGCTGGCGGAGAAAGGGTGCTAGGATGGTGGTGCCTGGAACCTTCCTCAAAACCAGGCAGGTCACTGCCCACCCCACAGGGGTGCGGTGGTCGGTGAATAGGCTGTATGGTGACCACGGTGATCCATGGTTCTGATTGTTAGGACTCTGAGGTTCATAGCATTGGATAGTGTTTGCTCTCTGGGAAAGTCCATCCTTAGTTTGCTGCACACGCACAGAGAAGAGGATCAGTAAAAACGAATTTCACAGTTCAGAGTTGGAGTTCTGGGGGGGAAAGTACTATGAAGTGCTGTGTCACCTCATCTTTTCTTTATTTTATTTTATTTTATTTTATTTTATTTTATTTTATTTTTTGGTCTTTAATCATTAGTCATCACAGTGTTGGGAAGGCAGCTTATGGTAGAGGAAACTGAAAGACAGCAAAGTTGGTAAAAGAAGACATTAAGGAGGTTTCATTTTGCCTTTTGTCCTTTGTCATCTCCTGAGGTGGGGGTGGGGACGACGACTGAGAGAGGAGGTTGGAAAATGAGCAGCTTCCTCACAATGTTCCCTCAACTTTGTAAATATAGTGTAACTTCTTAATTAGCACCTGTGTCAAGGATTGAAAGGGATATTACTTCTTCTGTCCTGCTGTTATTAGGACTGTTTCTTTCTCTTTTTTAAAAGAATTGTTTTGTTTAACATCTATTTATTTATTTATTTATTTATTTATTTTCATTTGTTCAGAGAGTGACAGAGTAAGAGAGAGAGAAAGTGAGAAAGCAAGCCACCAGGTCTGGGACTTGAACCTTGGTTGGCCATGTGGGAGTCCAGCGTCCTTAACTACTGCCATCTGCTGGCCCCAAGACTGTTGCTTAATTGTTCCAGTAAAATAAAATACCAATAATGTAGATGTGGCCAAATAGAAATGATTTTTCTGCGTTCTTGCCTCTGCTGATAAATACTACTCTTGAAATTCCCGAGACATAAATATTTAGAGTACTTTGAGATCCAGTCATAAAATATTTCGAAGAAAAATGAAAACTTTTACTACCAGCAAAGTTGATGCCGAAAGCATCCAATGATCACTTGTCATTCATTCTTTTGACAAAAGGAGATGAGAAAGAACACATTCGTGTAAATATTAGCCAATGCAGGAATCACCTCTTTTCACATTGCCATGTTCAAGTGACAGGTCGTATGAAAGTGCATTAAGTGATCATGTAACTCATTCTCAACATAAATATTTATCAGTCTTGCTAGGGTTTTTATTTTTTTAAGGTGCTGTGGTATATAACTATGCACTAGAAAGTTGCTGTTTTTTAATTCTGGAATGCGCATGACTTACTGTGGCATTATTTTGCTAGCAATATTTATGGTCTTTCATATAACAGTAGAATTTCTGTATGCATCTTGGCTTTTTTTTTTTTTTTTTACTTCACAATATACGAGCTCACCTAACCAAAAGCCACATCTTTTCTAATCATTCAGAACTAAACCAAGAACCAGGAAGAAAGCAAACAAAAACAGGCCCTGTGCTCATGGAACAGCTGTTAGGTCTTCACTTATTATAAATCATGCTACCATCATGATTTTTGCCATTTAGAGTACTATTATTTTACTTCCTCTTTGGAGGGTCTGGGGTTTGGCTGGATGGACACAGGGTTGTGCTGTGTTGCCCAGGCTGCTCTCAAACATGTGATCTTCCTGCATCGTCCTCCCAAAGAGCTGGAATTACAGGCACCTGCCACCATACCCAGTTTTTACTTCACTGTTTAATGGGTTCTATTTTATTATTATTGTTTGTTTTTTAAAGAATTATTTTACTTTATCTTATTTATTATTATTCTTCAATTTGACCCAGAGAGATAGAGAGTGAGAGAGTGAGAAGGCAAGCCGCCAAGTCTGAGACTTGAACCACGGTTTGCTGTATGGGAGTCCAGAACCTTAACCACCACGCCACGTGTTGGCCCTATTATTCCTTTTTTTAATGTCAGTGCTCCTGGGCACAACACATACACAGAGAAAGCATCTCCCAATGTGGCCTGGTCGTGCTGTAATCCCAGTTCTTTAGGTGGTAAGGATTTTGTGTGTGCCATACCCAGCCATGTTTTTCAAGCTAACCTGCAAGACTTAATCCCTGGTTGGTCATGTGAGACCTGGCTTTCTGTTCATAGTACTTAACTGTTGAACTATGTGGCCAGTCCTTAATAGAATTTTAAAAAACATCTTAAAAAATGATAATCTGTGAAATCATGGCTTTGATGTAGTATATATTATAATAAATATAAGACTATTAAATGCAGGGCCAGACGATGGCATAGTGGTTAAGGTCCTGGACTCCCACGTGATTGATTATGGTTTGAGTCCTGGACCCGGCGGCTTGAAACTCATGGCAGGCGTTTGTGTGTGTGCCCAAAATTCCAAGAGGAGGATGGAGGAGAAGGGATTGTGGTGTGGCCATCCTCCCTGGGGGGTGATTTCTTGCTTTCTGTGTCTCTGTCTCTCCAGTGAGTGTACATGCCCTACAGCCAAAAATTTTTTTAAAATTTAAAAAAGACTATTAACTGTATAACTATTACTTATGTAACAGCAAAATAATTTCATGTTCTTACTCTGCTCTTTGGAGAATACTGTTTTGAGCCAAATCTAATTTTTAAAATAAAATGAAAATTTGACTAAGGACATTGGGCTGGAAAATTCTGTGAGTCCTGTGATAATGTTATTGTGACAGAATTTGAGCAGACTTATCTACTGCACAAGATTAAAATAGATTAAAATAGCTAAAGGGAAAAAGAGGATGTTTACTTTTGTACATTTTTGTGAAATCAGCTGTCTTTTTTTTTTTTTCCTCTTCCTTGAATTAAGACTTCCCTCCCCACCCCAGTTGGTTCCTATATCTCAGACCTTATGAATGTCTGCTTTGTGGCTGTTTGTACTTTGCATTGTGTGTTTGTCAGCATTTATAACATATGATGTTGCTTGCTTTCAAGAACGTCGAACTTTTATTCAAGGACTGCATTTTGTGTTCTAATCTATAGTTTGACAGAGGAGCAGATGACAGGGATTGCTGTCTTCTTTGTTGTGATGGGTAGAGGCTTGAAACAAATGGATCCAGGGCTTCTTAACAATTGGAGGAAGTGGATTATGAAGCCAGGAAATAGCATGTAGTGTGCCTTTTTAAAATATTGGGAGCAAGGAAGAGAGGCCATTAGCACTAATTACACTTCACTCAGTGCCTGCCCTGTGTACTAGTGGTTAAGGAAACCATATCCTGGATGGCCAACATTGCGGTTCGAATCCCAGACCCAGCAATTTGAAGAACACTCTGGTATGTGTGCGTGCATGTCTAAAATCCTAACAGGATGGAGAGATGGAGAAGGGAGTGTGGAGTAAGCTGACCTCATTGTGTGGTGCTTTCTTCCTCTCCCTCTGTCTCTCTCTGGTAAGCACATGCACCCTCTAGCAAAAAAAGGAAAAGAAAATTCACTGGTTTCAGTTGATGGTGTATTATTACTAAAATATTTAAGTTTCTGACTACTGTTTTTTTCTGGAATTCCCTTATCATCTTGTTGGTTTTTGTGAATCCTATAAAGTTTGTTTGAAATTATTTTGATAGTATTTCTACAATTGAGATTACGTTAGCTGGCCTCTTAATGTTTATAAAATACAACGCAACGTTTTGACTTAGTATATAAAGCCCTTCATAGTCTGTCTTCTCTCTGCCCTTTAAAACCATTTGCCCCCTCCATCTGTACACACACAGGTATATTCCTGCCTAACCAATTAACTCTTCCATTGTGGCATTTCTTTGATAATCAAAAATTGTAAATTTTTTTTGGAGTTGATCACACTAGGACTTTGACTCACACAGATCAAAATCATGAGAAAAAAAATTTTTTTTCTTTCTTATTTTTTTTTTTGGAGAGGTTTTTGCTATAGGGCACGTGCGCTCGCCAGACAGAGAGAGAGAGACAGAGAGATAGAAAGCGAGAAATCACCCCCCAGAGGAGATGGCCACGCTGCAATCCCTTCTCCTCCATTCTCCTCCCGAGATCTTGGGCACACACACACACACACACACACGCACCCGGCGTGAGTTTAAGCCATCGGGTCCGGGACTCGAACCGCGGTCGACTACGTGGGAGTCCAGCGACATAGCCATTACGCTAACTGCTGGTCCCCATGAGAAAAATTTTTACAAATTATTGATATAATAGCTTTTTTTAAGAATTATTTTACTTTATTTGTTTATTTATTTTAATTTAACCAGAGAAAGAGAGAGAGGGAAAGGGAGAGAGATGGAAAGTGAGAAGTCACCAGGTCCAGGACTCGAATATCAGTTGGCCATGTGGGAGTCCACCATCCTTACCCACCACACCACCTGCCAGCCCTAAAGAATTATTTTTATTTAACTTTATTTACTTATTCATTTATTTATTTTAATCTGACCAGAGAGAGACAGAATGAGAGAACAAGAGAGGGAAAGTGAGAAAACAAGCCACCAAGTCCAGGACTCGAACCTTGGTTGGCCATTTGGAATTCAGCACCCTTTACCACCACACCACCTGCCACCCATCCCTATTTTTTTTTTTAATTTTTTTAAAGAATTTTCTATTTTAATTTTGTTTACTCATTTGTTTTATTTTAATTTGATCAGAGGGGACACAGAGAGAAAGAGAGAGAGGAAGAGAGGGAGAGAGGGAAAGTGAGAAAGCAAGCCACCAGGTCCAGGACTCAGCCATGGGGAGTGTCCAGCACCTTAACCACCACACCACCTGTTGGTCCCAAGAGAGATGTCTACTATAGGGCTGGGGTGCTAGCTGGAGAGACAGAAAGTGAGAAATCACACCCAGGGGGGATGGTCATGCCATTCTCTTCCATTCTCCTTTCAGGATCTTGGGCTCCTGGTTCTGGGTGTGAGTTTTAAGCCTCTGGGGTTGGGACTCAGAACTACAGTGACCCTGTGGGAGTCTCGGGACGTAACCATTATGCTATCTGCTGATCTCGATATAATAACTTTATTGAGTATTGTGTGCCAAGGACCATTTTATGTGCTTTTCATGAATTAATCCATATAACAGTGCTTGAATTATTGTGAATTCATAGAACAACACATTGCTATTTTTTTAAAGAATTATTTAATGTTATTTATTTATTTTAATTTGATCAGAGAGGGACAGAGTGAGAGAGAGAAAGAGAGAGAGAGTGTGAACGAGAGAGAGGAAAGTGAGAAAGCAAGCCGCCAGGTCCAGGATTTGAGCTGCTGTTGTCCATGTAGGAGTCCAGCATCCTTAACAGCCACACCACCTGCTGTCTCCCACATTGTTATTCTTATTTAATGAAGAAACTGAAGCAAAGAGAAGTCATTTGAACTGGATTTGAAACCATTATGTTTTTCTAAGTATTGGATGCTTAACTGCTATTCTATGCTATGTTGCCTTTTGTATATACAAGAGTACCTTTTTTTTTTTTTTTTTTTTTGAGGAGACATTTTTTTTCTGGGCTTTTGGGTTTTTTACTCTAGGCTATGTGTGCTTGCCAGAGAGACAGAGAGAGAGTAAAGCAAGAAATCACCCCTTAGGGGGATGGCCACGCCACAATCCCTTCTCCTCTTCGGATTTTGGACATGCATGCACACACACACATGCCTGGTGTGAGTCTCAAGCCACCAGATCCAGGACTTAAACCATTGTTGACCATGTGGGAGCCCAGCACCTTAATCAGTACTCTACCTGCTGGCATCAAAAAATGCTTCTCTTGGGGCCGGCAGATGGCATGGTAGTTAAGGGTGCTGGATTCCCACATGAGCAACTGCGGTTCAAGTCCCAGACCTGGTGGCTTACTTTCTCACTTTCCCTCTGTCTCTCTTTGTCCCTCTCTGGTAAAATGAAAAAATAAGCAAATAAATAAATCAAATTAAATAAAATAATTACTTACAAAAGAAGAAGAATGCTACTATTTTAATTCACCGTGTGGGAGGCTATTTTTTTTCCAGGGACCTGAGTATTTATATTGTGGCTTCTGATTTCTGGTATCAAAATATTTGAGAAGCTAACCAGAAAGCTTCTAAGTGAACTTGGAGTTCGAGCCAAAATATTTAGATGACTTGGGAGAATATTTCAGTCAGGTGGGGGAAAGCCTTGCCAGTGATCCCCACCCATACTTGGTATCTTGCTGGCAGATAGCATACTTATGTCAGCTAGGTTATTGTCCCTCTTCCCTGGATGGATGTCCAGCTTCTGGCTCTTGGACCTCTTATATTTCAAAAAAAGCATCCCCTTTCCATTCCTACCACCTTTCTACTTTTTAAAATTTAATTTATGTATTTATGTATTTTATTTGACCAGAGAGAGACACGGGGCAGTTGGGGGGGGAGTGAGAAAGCAAGCCACCAGGTCCAGGACTTGAACCATGATTGGCCATGTGGGAGTGTCCGGTGCCTTAACCACCACTCCACCTGCTGGTCCCCTGCCACCTTTCTATTAGGCTGGGTTAATATAATTGGTGACAATCATCTCTACGTCTGCTTCTGCAGTATTATTCCCAGGTCAAGTACAGTGGAATGGTGTAAATTCCAAGGTTGACAGACATTTGAAGACCAGGTGTTAGACATTAAGCAGTTAAATGACAACAGTTGCTTTTGTAAAACTGAAGTAGAATTTTGGTCTTTTCAGTTCCTGATTTTTAATGGTACTTTCCCACTCATTATTTCTGTCCTGAATCATGTGCTGTGAACAAAGATGTTCAGTAACTATGCATGGTGTACTTACTATGTTTGCATAGTGGGGGAGCCTCTAAAAATGGTAAAGGTGCTCACGTAGAGGGAGGTAGAAAGGAAATTTGAGAGAGGAAGTAAAAGGAGCAAACTCTCTTTACTATAAGTTAGTCTGTCATCATCTAGATGCCTTTAGGAAGAATTAAATTTCCTATTTGGAGCATAGCTTCTTTTTTTAAAAAATAAACTGTCATTTATTTTCCTTATCAACTTTATTTTCACTTTGCATGAGTCTGTGGACGAGCAGACTTAAGACTACTCAGTGGTGGTTCCCACCCATTCAGTGGCCTGAGCAGTAGGGGTTGCAGACCAGTGGCAGGCTGAGCACTCCAGTCTTCAGTAGGGAACTGCTGGATGGGCACAGAGGGCACCTGCGTGCCTTCAGACCAGTCTGCAACCTCAGGCTGAATAGCAGTAAACTCAGGAACTGGAGCAGCCCATTCACCCTGAAATTCCTCCTTGGTCACAGCTTTTTCAGCTATGGCCTGTTCCTCCTTTTCAACCTCTTCAGGATCTCTGAAGAAATAGTGATCAGGCATGACCTCCCACGGGTGTTCACGGGAAGTGGTGCCACACATGCGCAGAACTTCCCTGCCAGCATCCATCACATCAGACTCACCGAGTGAGCTCCGTTGTTGTTGCCTGGGAGGGCAGTGTCCACACAGCACAGAGAATCTGTGTGGTACAAAGCAGTGGTAGGTAGATAACCTAAGATGCCCCTATAAGAGGCTGGTGGTTGGCCCAGTAACCCCTAGAAGATGCGGCTCTCAGAAGGCTGCCTGGATCTGGTTAGTGAAGGTCCCAAGAGTGAAGTGACCAGCAATAGGAGTGGCTCCAGTGGCAGCAGCAAACATCAGCGCAGCCCTCTATCCAGTATTCCTGGAAGATACGTCATTGAGGTCCACGGGATTTTCAATGGCAACAATGGCACGAGCTGCCAGCAGAAGCTTCTCCCAGGTCCTCTTCAGATTTATGATGTAGACGCCATCACTTTTCGTTTTGTAGATGTACTGCTCCATTTGGAAGTCAAGCTTGGTGGTGCCACCTAAGTGGGTTCCTGTTGCAAGGAATTTGAGGACATCCTCCTCCTTCATTGGCAGGACATCAAGGGCACTGGACATTGTGAAAATTTCTCTTTAAGTTACGAATGGCAGAGGGTCAGAAATAGGGGCATATATGTGTGAGTGTGTGTGTGAGTTTGTGTATGTGTGTGTGTGTATATATATGAAACTAGAAATGGAAAATTATTGAGGCTAACATGCATGATTAAGCCACTATGCAGTATATTCTAGATGGGAAATCACATTTTGTATGCTATGACGATGCTCAGGGACCTGTGGGATGATGGTTAGAGGCTGGTGGACTCCCACGTGGGTGACTGTGGTTTGAGTCCTAGACCTGGTGGCTTGCTTTCTTGTTTTCCCTCTCTCTCTTTCACTGTCTCTCTAGTCAAGTTCAAAAATAATGAAAATTATAAATAAAGTTAAATAAAATAATTCTTTTCTAAAAACAAAGCAAGAAAAAGACTAGACCCAGTGGCAGGTGCCACAACCTCCCAACAGGAGGCTGAGTAGAGGATCACAAGCTCTAGGCCGGCTTGGTTAACATAGGAAGACTCTTTCCAGAGAGAAACAGTGAGAGGGAAAGTGAATAAAACACCCCTACAGAGCGAATGACCTTGTTGCAATCCCTACTCCTCCATTTTCCTCCTGGGATTTTGGGCATGCACATCTGTTGTGAGTTCCAAGCCATTGGTTGTGGGACCACAGTCAGCCATGTGGGAGTCCTGTGTCTTAACCACCATGCCACTTGTTGGCCCCCTCAGCCTTTCTTTCTTTCTTTTTTTTTTTTTTTAAGAGAGATTTTTGCTATAGGGTGCATGTGCTCACCAGAGAGACAGAGAGACAGAAAAGAAGAAATCACCCACCAGTGCACATGGCTATGCCCCAGTCCCTTCTCCTTCATTCTCCTCTTGGGATCTTGGACATGCATGTGGTACATGCCCAGCCTGAATTTGAAGCTGCCGGGTGCAAGACTTGAACCATGGTTGACTGTGTGGGAGTCCAGCGACGTAACCATTACGCCATCTGCTTGTTCCTCAACCTTAATTTCTTTACCTCTGTTATAGGTAGATAGGTAAGTACGTAGATAACTAGAGATAGGCTTTTATTTTGTTTTCCTGATTAGGAAGAATAGTCTATAAATCTATACTTTGTGCTCAAACTTGTTTTATGTATCCTTATTCTTTGTAGAATATCCACGTTTCCTTTTCTGTGCAAGATAGAGTTTTGATTCATCATGGATAATCTATCACCAGAAGAAGTTCAACTGAGGGCTCACCAGGTCACAGATGAGGTAAATGTTTTACTTAGAATAAGTAATTCTATTTCAGCTTCATATTGGAGGGATGAGAGGATCTTCTTAGAGACCATTTGGGTCTCTTCCTAATCTCTTTACATCAGAGAATGAGTTTGTGGGGCCAGCCGGTGGCATGGTGGTTGGGGTACTGGACTCTCACATATCTGACTGTGGTTTAAGTCCTGGACCTGCTGGTTTGCTTTCTTGCTTTCCTTCTTTCTTTCTCAGTCTCTCTCTAGTGAGCATGCATGCCTTATGGCAAAATGAAAACTAAGAACAGTAATAAGTAAAATTAGGTAAATAATTCTTTTTAAAATTATGATTTATGTAATTTTATTTATTATTATTTTGTTTGCTGTAGTGCACATGCTTTCACCAGAGAAAGGCCAACAGAGGGAGAAAGAGAGAGAAGGAAAGTAAGAAAACAAGCCACCAGGTCTGGGACTTAAACTGTGGTTGGCCATGTGGGAGTCCAGCACCTTAACCACC